TCTGATAATCAATGTTTACATCCATGTCATGCTGGTTTCTCATTTCTGGCTCATGTCTCCGATCATGAAGAACCAAAAACTTTCAAAGGTGCTGCCAGTAAGAAAGAATGGCAGATTGCTATGCAGGAGGAATTTGATGCTCTCAAAGCTCAGGGAACTTGGATTTTAGTTCCACCTCCATCACATCGAATGATAGTTGGTAGTAAGTGGGTTTATAAGATCAAGAAGAATCCCGATGGGTCTATTTCCAGATTCAAAGCCCGATTGGTTGCCCAGGGCTTTACACAAGAACATGGTCTTGACTACTCTGAAACTTTTAGTCCTGTTGTTAGACATACTACAGTCAGGATTATACTTGCACTTGCTGCTCAGTTGGGTTGGTCTTTGCGCCAATTGGACGTCAAAAATGCTTTTTTACATGGTGAATTAGAAGAAGAGGTTTATATGCAGCAACCCCAAGGTTTTGTTGATCAGGAACATCCAACTCATGTTTGCAAATTAGTGAAATCTCTCTATGGTTTAAAACAGGCTCCTAGGGCTTGGAATTCTAAGTTTACAAGCTATTTTCCAGCCCTTGGGTTTACACCTTCTCTTTCTGATTCAAGTCTATTTGTCAAGACTGATAATGAAGATATTATTTTGTTGTTGTTGTATGTGGATGATATCATCCTTACTGGTTCCAATTCCATAAAGGTACAAGGCATAATCAACAACTTGGCAGCAGTGTTTGATCTTAAAGATATGGGGCGTTTAAGCTATTTCTTGGGTTTGCATATTCATTACAATGATGATGGGTCTCTGTTTATTAACCAATCCAAGTATGCCACAGATTTGTTGAAAAAGGCAGGCATGGACTCTTGTAAGCCCACATCTACTCCTTTCAAGCCACACACACAGATTCTTGCTGGTGAAGGTACATTGTTATCTGATCCAAGTCAATATCGAAGTATTGTTGGTGCCCTTCAGTATTTGACTTTCACAAGGCCTGATCTTGCTTATTCAGTGAATATGGTGTGTCAATTTATGACAGCACCAACTGATGCCCATTTTCATCTGGTCAAAAGAATCATTTGTTATATTCAGGGAACCATCAGCTATGGTTTATGCTATACTAAAAGTGACAATTTCCACATCAATGCCTATTCAGACTCTGATTGGGCTGCAGACATTACTACTCGACGATCACTTTCCAGGTTTGTGGTCTATATTGGCTCTAATCCTGTTTCATGGCAATCCAAGAAGCAATCTACAGTATCCCGCAATTCTACTGAAGCTGAGTACAAAGCTTTGGCACACTGTGCAGCTGATGTGTCATGGATTCGATCTGTGTTCAAAGATATTCATCAGTTTCTTCCTCGTCCTCCTGCTCTTCACTGTGATAATCTGTCAGCCCTTGCCTTAAGTTCTAATCCGGTGTTTCATTCTAAAATCAAACACCTTGATACAGATTACCATTTTGTTAGAGAAAAGGTCCAAAAAGGTGACATCAGTGTTCATTACATTCCAACAGATGATCAGGTTGCTGATGTATTCACCAAGGGCTTACATAGTCCTGTTTTCTTGAAGCATTGCCGGTTTCTTGGTTTGGGATTGTCACCGATTGTTCAGCAAACTAAGTTCGGTTGCTCCATGCTTAGTTTGAGGGGGGAGTAATAACCATAGTAGTTGGTTAGTCGGTTATACAGTTGAAATAGTTGGTTAGACAGTTGTAAGGTTGTTAAGTAGGATTGGGTTGTTAAAAAGATAAAAGAATATAAGAAGGGTAGTATTGTACTTTTGTAACGGTTAGTTTTCTCTACATAAACGAAATGTGTAAGGCATTTGGGTTGATCTTTTCATCTTCCAAAACATATATTGAAGAGTTCATCATTCTCTGTAGCTTCTTTCTTTCTCTAGTTTTTCACAAGCTATTCTTTTCTTTCTCTTTGTTAATAAATATATAACATACCGCCAAAATCTGGTGATCAATTTCAAATTACTAATCAAGAAACTCCTGAAATAACACGCGAGACGGCGATTTGTTTGTGTTTCAGTATATTACATACAATGTTGGTTGTTAATTTAATTTGTATTTTCATGACCACACTTTATCGTGCATGTTTTTGGAAAATTTCAAAAGTAAATTGTCAAGTAGTCGTTAATTTCGACTTTGCTTTAATATCATTCTAGTCTCTTGACACACACTCATGCATGCGATAATTTTCTCTTTAATTTTACGTGTTTACTTGCTCTTAAATTTTGTTTTAAATATTTTTTACTTTTTCAACTCAAAAATATTTTTTACTTTTTTATTTAAAAAATTTAAAGAAAAAAATTGCCAACTACGTGGTAATTTATTTTGTTATGTTGGATTTTTTTAATTAAATATTTAATTTAAGAACTTAATTAAGGAAGTGTACTTTTGGGATTCACCCTTCCTCCTCAATTTGCCGTCTTGGTTCCAAATTTCGCTACCCCGACTTACTCAAAATCCCTGAAATCCCAAAACCCAATTTCCTCCAGCCGAAGAAATCGCCATCACCCTTCAACCACACAAAAATTCCTGACAAAATTCGGAACAGAAGGTCCTAATTTTCTCAGAAAAATCTCAAATGGGGAAGACCGGACCTTTTGATCTCAAAAAGCACTTTGAAGGTTGCAGAAGATGGCTTACTTGCTTGCTCCAACACAAACTCAATTACGAACACCATATCTTTGAAGGTTGCAGGGATATGGGACTTGGCCAGATTTGGTGTTTTGAGAGTTATGACTTTTCCCGTGTCATAAAATCCAACTTCTTTGGGAGTTTTCGTCTCAAGTGTATCTTTTTTGATGAATTGTAGATGTTTGTACCATACTTGACCAATCCCGAAACTACTGAGCACCGGTCAACGTTATACCGTCAAGGACCCAAAAGAGCTTCCCTTCAACCAGGAGGCCAATCACAATGCGACACGTGTCGACATCAGAAGCCAATCACAGCGCGACACGTGTCAACATCAGAAGCCAATCATAACACGACACGTGTCAATGTTAGAACAAAACTAGAAACTCTCTTCTATAAATAGGGATCATTCTCCCACAATAATCTCTAATGTCATTTTGTACTAAACTATTCACTAGAACTCACAAAATGAGAGCTTGAACCTATGTATTTGTGTAAACCCTTCACAATTAATGAGAACTCCTCTACTCCGTGGACGTAGCCGATCTGGATGAACCACGTACATCTTGTGTTTGCTTCCCTGTCCCTATTCATTTACGTACTTATCTTCACTAGTGATCGAAGCAACCAAGCGAAGGTCACAAACCTGACACTTTCTGTTGTACCAAAGTCCTCGCTGATTTTGTGCATCAACAGTAGACATTCCCCATCCACTTCTTGCTCTTGATTCTTTGGAAAGGTTCCAAAGATGCCTTTCTCACCCTCTTCTTCCTTGGATTGCATGATCCTGCAAGGAATAAGGACATTTGGTGAAACGGGGTCAGGACAAATTGAATTTAGGCTTACCTTGGTTGTAGTGGACGGCATAGAGGGGATATGGGGTTGCGGCAATGGTGGTTCTTCCCTTGCCGTGGCCTTGTTATTCTCCTCTTCTTCGAGCAGCAGCTGTTCATCTATGTTTTGGCTTGGTTTGGATGTCTTGGGTTCACCTCCAACCTCCATAGCACTTCCCAAAGTGATAGCATCATGTATTTCAAAATCATCGCATCAAATTTTGGCGCCATTGCCGGGGATTAGCAACTTTGCTAATCCCCCGTTGTTTCTTTTTCATGTCTTTTGTTTTAGTTACTAACTTTGTTTCTATTTGTGTCTTTTATTTTTACTTTTGATATTTGATTTAGTTTTGTTTCCTTGATTTCAGATACTAGATAAGTAAGACATGAATTTTGCTACCATTCAAGCTCAATTGGCGAAATTTACTTCTCAATTGTCACAAAATGCCGAAAGGACCACAATGCAAAGTGTCACTACATGTGGTGTGTCCTATTAGCAAGGATATCCAACTCATCAATGTTCTCAATTCGCTGCGAATGAAGATGCTTAGGGTTATCAAGGCTATAGCCAATCATGGGACAACATGTTTTCCAATGCTTACAATTCGGATTGGAGAGATTATTCAGATTGCATGTGGGGAGAACCTCAACAATTCCAACAAGATGGATATTGGCAGCAAGAAGAGGAGTTCTATTCAAGACCTATGCAGCCACCACAACAATCTGCCCAATTCGATTCAGGTACGTCTTTGGATAATGATATGTTTAATAAGTTACTCACCTCTTTGAACCAGGAAGTAGAAAATCGAAACACAGATGTGCAAAATCAAGCCAAGAAGACGGGCAAATTAGAGAAGCAAATTGGGCAGATTATGGAGTTCACGGCACAAATAGAGCTTACCACAGCAACCCAGTCAACATGGCGATTTGCATGCTCTTCGGCTAGCCAATCCTTTTCATCCTCTACTTCATGCCCACGCTGCTCAATTTTGGGGTTTTGGTGTTTTGGTGTTTGGGAACGACGTCGTTCTGCCTTTAAACATCGGTTTGCCATTGACTATAATCTATATATTCTGTGTTTTACATCTATTTGGACGCAAAATCTGGCTTCTTGGGTGCTCTGCTCTGTGTAATTACGGGGTTGGTAGCTGTTTCCTTGGAAGACAACTCGGATTTTTCATCTCTTGGAAGGTAATTTTTGGGTTGTTATTAATTTTTGTGAAATATTTGGTCTGGGTTTTGTTTATTTTGTGGAATTAGATACTTATTTTTTGAAGTGCAGTTATTGTTAGTAACGTTTATCATGAAATTTTGATCTAGGATTTTGATTTTGATTTCTTTTACCGTGCAGTATTCTTTGTTTTGCCGTATACAACCATTTTCCTATCCTTTTTATTCTTTGTGACAAGCTTCATATCCATTGTCTGTTTAGGTAAATGAAATATGATGCAGGACCTTCAACAAAACATGTATATTGACTTCAATCTTTCCTTTTCCGTTAGGGTCTTGGTTTGGGATCTTTGTTTGACATAGATGATCTGGCATGCACTTTTCCAATGGTCAGCTTTCTCAACTTTGATGACTTTGCAAACAATTGAGTTTGTCTGCAACCAATATATGCTGGCCCACATCTTTTGTTTTGTTTTTACCGTTATAGGTACATCAAATTCTTTCCTTTTTGGTGTGCATTTCTGTATTTGGGATTTGTATATTTAACATCTTCTTGCTGCATTTGCAATCTCACCGGGTTTGTTGTAATGGTGAAGTTTCTTTTCTTTTCCATTCTTTTTTTATTTTAATCTCATTGTGGTACTGTTCGAGTTTTGGACTTTTATGCGAAAAGTTTTGTGTTTGGGATAAAAGTAGATTATTTAGTGTACAGTGTATTGATTTAAACCTTTTGTTGATTTCTTTGAAATTCGGAGTCAACTCAGTGATCGGGGTTTTATCTTTTCTCATTCACTTTTTAGCTGTTCTCGTTTTCTATGTTTTTTTCTTTTTCGGTTTCTCAAGTCTTTGCTTCATATGTGATGTTCTTTGTTGGCAAGAAGCGGGTTGCTTCGATGAGTCCATCTCCAGGGTTCATTCAAAGTTTGTTGCCCTCTATTGACGAAACCGAAGTTATATACCTTCCTTTGTCTTACTTCTCGACTCTATTGATGAGTCTAGCTTTTGCTTTAACAAGTCATCTGTATCCTATTTTTTTATAGGTTTCTGATTAGTTTAAAGTCATTTTCTTCTTTAATATATTTGATTCCATGCTTCTCTTTTTAACTGTCACCACTTTATTTTCTTCCTTTTTCAAAGATTTAAATGATTGATATTCAGAACTACTTATTTGTTTCATATTTTTATTATTTTTTTTAACAAAGTTGTGTCAAAGATGAGGCAGGTGAGTTTTGAGCTCCCTGAAAAAGGTGTAAGTGCACATGGGAAACTCTTTAGGGAATAAAATTATCTGGAAAAGATGGATTCCTTTCCTGGGTTTTTTTTTCACCCTTACTTGGATTATAGATAAGACACAGTAGATATCTTGAGAGTAAAAGGCTTTATGTTTTAGCTATATATATCGTATAGAATATCATGGTAATAAAATAGTTCGATTTGCAGCTTTATGATGTTTTCTTTGACAATTACATTTACTTGTTAATCTGCAACTCATTTATCATGATTTTTCATCCTCAGGAACATTTTACTCGAAATGGCTGTGGTTCTGTGTCCGTTATTGTGTATGGAGACCAAGAAAAGCCTGCACTTATAACTTATCCTGATTTAGCTCTAAATCGTAAGTGTGATAGTCTATCGTCCTGGTTCCATTTTTTGTTGTTTGAAATGACAATCTGAGTTTTACGCTTTGCTATTCCTGATAAAATGTATGTTTATGTTTATTTGCTTCTTCTTGACATAATTAGACTATAAATTCCTAACTTTTCTGTTTATTTTGTTAAATTGAGCAGATATGTCTTGTTTCCAAGGGTTATTCTTTTGTCCCGAAGCGGATTCTTTGCTGCTCCACAACTTCTGCATATATCATATCAGTCCTCCTGGCCATGAGGTCTGTAAATGGTTTGCTTCAAGTGGATTTTATTATTCTATCTGTTTATCGAATCATACAATTTTTATGAAAAATATTTTATGCAGCTGAACGCCATTATTCACATAGTTTCTCTTTGGAACTCTCACAAGAGTTCTTGCAGTTAGGAGCTGCTTCAATTTGTCCAGATGATCCTGTGCCTTCAGTTGATGACTTGGCAGATCGGAACCTTGAGGTTCTCAATTTTTTTGGGTAACCACCAACACTAAGTCTTCATATTAATTGATTTTCAAGTTGTGAGTGTTTGAAACTCCTTGCTGTTGCTTCCAACATTCAAATAGTGTAGAAGCGTGCCCTTTTTTCGCTAATCATGTTTTAATGTTGTTTTCTCTGATTGCACTAAAATCTCTTTGTGCAGGCTTGGTGCAGTTATGTGCATGGGGTTGGCAGTGGGTGGTTATATTTTTTCCCTATTTGCCGTAAGTTCCTTAAACCATTTGCAACTATATTAAAAAAAAATTCTATCTAAATGTAGCTGTTATGTTTATGAGTAAATGATAAACTTCAAATGGTTTACCATGATTAGCCGTAATCTGTAGGTGATGTTGAATATGCTATATTTCTATGGCATGTGTGGTTTGCTAAAAGAGCGTTTGCTTCAGCGATACTTCAGTGAGGTACTGCTGTGCTCTGACAATTTCTCGAGATGATCCTGCGCTTTCAAAAGGTTTCATTTTTTTCACCTTGTTAAGCTTGTGTCTCTGAAAGCACCTTAATTGTGTTTAATTTAGATTTTTGTGTTGTAAATTCTAAATTTTTGTTTTTATTTTTTAATATGTAGCCTTATCTTCCACTGGAGTTGCAACACTTGAGTTTTACATTTGTGTATGTAATGACAGCAACCGATCCAAATTCTGCATTTGTCCAGTAAATTGTAAAAGTAAACCGAATTTTGAGGGAATTATAAGAGATACCGTCGGCTTTAGCCATGAAAGGTATCAACAACTTGTTACCCATACAGTTGATTAATCATTTCCCAATCTGTGCTCTACTTGGTTGATGAGAAAATGATTAAAAAAGATGATTCTTTTTGTTTATATGTTGGTTAATTTGTGTATGGACAATTGTTATTATTATTATTATTTTGTGTACAGGGTGCTGTGTTGGAAACAGCGATGCAAGGGCGGGATATGCTCGGTTGCGCTAGAAAGAAAACAGGGAAAACTCTGCCAAACATGGGTTTGTTTCTCAAATCACATTCATTAGGTAGATTATTAATGTGCTTGGGTAGGGGTTTTCAATATGATTATCTAATTTCCGCGTTGCAGCATTTTCTTTTTGGTTTTTGGAGTATGTATGTGATTTATGTTTGATTATATGCAGGCGTGGAGAGTGTCTTTTGGCTTTGGTTTTGGCCTCAACAAGAGAACGCGTAAGGCAAGGTGAGAAAGAATTCCATGATGCAGCACCTGGTTTGGATATGTGTCTATGGTGTGGTACCCCCATTTCAAGGCAAATGAGAGCACTTGACTATGGTAACCCAATGACTCTCTTTGTTGTTTTTCCTTAATGGGTTATCGATTTCTTGCTTTTTTTTTTTTTGAGTTTTTTTGCTATGGGTATTTTGCATTTCTGAGCTTCAAGGTACAAAAGGGTACTTTATTTGTTGTTGGGTCTCTAAGAGCAAGAAAACCCCATAAAAATGGCCATTGGGAATGAAAAGTCGTTTCCTTGGTGTATTTATACCCTTTTCTGTTGTACGATGTGATATTAAGTGTCGATTTGGTTTATGTATTTTGTTGTAAATACACTTTGATGTGCATAGATTCCTAAAAGGTTCTATATTAAAATTATATCAATATGCACGATGAATGATTCGAGAGATGGTTATGCGAGTGTACAAAGTGATTCTTTGTGATGCATTTTTTACGACGCTTTGATGAGCTTACATTCATAAAAGGCTCTATATTAAAATGATATCAATATGACAGTTTTTGGTTTGTATGACAGACAGTCTCCATTGATAGGTGGTCTATTATGTTTGTAGAACTCAATGAATACCGTTGTCTCTCAAATGACGACTGTCAGCCAGTGAAATTTCTATTGTCAGCCAGTATGAAATTTCTAACTGCATACTCCTCCCTTAATCAGTAACAAGTAACAGCCGTGTTTGTATCTTCTTTTTTTTCCATTGAAATTAACATTTTCAATCTTTTTGGATGAATTTTCTGAGTTTGTTTATCTTTTTATCCTATACAAAAAATGTACATATCCCAATCTATTGAAAAACGGAGGAAGAAGAGTGAAGTAGTGAGTGGCAACTTTTGCTATGTATGTATTCTTCCAACACCTATTTTTTGTTAATTATTGAACATAAGGATGTAAATAGATTTTGATAATGAATGTAGACAACTTTTAATATATTTCACATGTTTAATGAAGTTTTAAAACCCACGGTATCGTACAAGCTCAATTACTAGTACTAGCAAAAAGAAAGAAAAATACTTCGGTTCGTAAATCCTTGCAATACAAGCAGAAATGACAATTGGAAGCCCATCACATGATGTAACATTTGCTATTGGGACTACATCCAAGGGATGACAACCCTTTCTTTGGGGGTCGGTTATCTCCTGTAATCTCTCTTCTTGAATCCCCACTAGATACGCTTCTCATAAGATGTGGGAGAGCAGTAGATGGCCCTGCCCCAAACGACTTTCTCCTTGGATCCGCAGATGGGCCGTCAGCAGTGGCCACCCTACGGATCCTTTCAGCCTCAGATGCACGATACGCCCGATATTGTGCTGCGGCAGCAGCTTCAGCCTGTTGAGCCATTGATTTTTTGGCTTTTCTATCCATTTTAGCTTCTGCTTCTGCTTGTGCTGCTGCTTGTGCTGCTTGTGCATCAGCTTGTGCTTGCCGCTCTAGTGAGGCTGCTTGCCTTGCCTCTCTCTCAGCACCACTAGCAGCCAATTGATCTCGACTCCATCGGAGTCCTATTTGACTTTCAATACACGCATTGTACACTTCCATGTTCATTTGCTGCTGGCTGCTGAAATTTAGCTTAACATTTTCCAGCTGCATAAAAAAGATTAAGTTAGAATCACGTATATTCACAACAAAAAGGAAAAAAAATTAATAACTAGAAGCATGAACATATAATTAGCAATTGCAATGTGTCAAATTAACTCATTACCGCAAAATATCGAAGCAGGGACACCTTTAGAAGATCATACTGTTCTATTAAAATTTCTAAAGTTTGACGGGCACCATCCATGTTACCCATTCTAATTAAATCCTTTAGCCCGGTAGAGTGTTGCACCATTGACTCGGCACCAAAATTATTGGATGCTTTCAATAGAACCTTGGTATGGTGCTTTGCTGATGCAAGGTTCGGTTTGGATAAGGCATGAGTCTGGTGAGCAATCTGAGAGATTGAAAACTCTGTAGTGGCAATGAAATCCTTGACAAGCTCATGGAATTTCGATGTTAGCACATTGTTGCTGAACTTTTCATTGATAAGCCCCTGCCCAAAACACATAAAATTATTCAATATTTAGAAATTCACACCGAAGAAAATTAGCAATCCAAGTGAAGATACAAAGGACAAAAAAACACTAGCTAGAGCTTACATTGTTCTTCATCTGTCTCATCAAGTTAATTGATGTAGTTTTATCAACAAAATTGATAAGGGGATCCAAAGTTGGAACCACATCTTGAATCTCGGATGTCGACATAGATAGGAGGAGAGAACAAGAGGGAGAACAATAAGAGAGAGCAATCAGAGAGAATGAGAGAGAGTGTGTGTCAATATGTAATGTGATATTTGAATATCATGTTTTTATATAGAGAGGAGGTGAAGAAGAAATTTGGATTAATTACCATATAAAAGTTTGAATGAGAGTTCAGATATACTAGGGAGTTGTTTGAGGAGGAAGTAAGCATTCCATTTTTGGAATCACAAAAACCCTGCATGTCCCATGCACTCTACCTCTAATCTAAGTAAAAGGGTAAAGGTCGTAGGTCGTACCCAGTGCACAAGGCTCCCGCTTTACGCAGGGTCTGGGAGAGGTAAATATCGGCTAGCCTTACCCCCATTTATGGAGAGGTAAATCTAAGTAAAAGGGTAAAAAAAAAAAAAAATGCACCAGAAGTAAAATCATTGCATTGACTAATTTCAGAATCGTTGAATATTCACAGACTCTACCATGTAAGAAATAACATCTCCTTATTTTAAAAACAGAAAAGTCCCATGCACTCTACCTGTAGTCTAAGCAAAAGGGTGTAAAAAAAAAAAGGAAAACTAACGAAAAGTTCAAAAAAAATTTAGTTTTAATGAAAAATAAGAAATAAAAGTGTAGTGAATAGTACTAGAGAAAGATAAAAATGTGGTTTTTCGTTAAAAAAGAACAGTACCGAGAGTATTTCGTTAAAACTCCCTAAAAAAATCACCAAAGGTGATACCATTGCATTGACTAATTTCAACATCATTGAATCTCCGCAGACTCAACAAACCAAATTAATTTACCAGAGAAACCAAGCAAGATCTTTTCAACCCTTGACCAGAAGACTGAAGCCATTACCAAACTTCGATAATTCTACTTAATCATTAATTAAGCTAATTCAGGCATGCCTGCACTTATACCTATACGGAGTTTCCTCGATGAAATTAGTGGTTTCGTTTACAAATTGTGTTTGATTAATTTGCATAGGATAATATGCAAAGATGTGATAAGGCCATTACAGACAATGCTTCCCGTATGTACATTTAAACAGTCAAAATAACCATCACAAACATGCACGTATTGTACTCGTTATTCAATTTCCATTAGGAATATTTTATCTAACCCAATACGTTCTTTTATACGCAACCAACATTCTCTCTACACTAATATTAATTTATTATTGTTGGTGAGAATAAAACTTATCTTTGTGCCCAAAATTTCATACAAAAACAATAAAAGCCTTATTATATTACTAAGTGGAGTCAGTTTTTCACACCTATACTGAATTAAACACTCTCAATTATGTTGAACTCAACACTTCATGATTAAATTATATTAAAGCTTGTCTAAACTAATCATGTTGTACTTGTACTCATTCTTTCATTTGTTTCTTTATACACCTCAACTAAACTTGTTCTATGAGAAGCGAACCAAATAACTTAGTATTCCATCCCATATTGTCCGCATGCAATAAATAAATAAATAAAATTATTGCCTACATCGGTGGTAACTACTCAACTTATATTTATTATTCTTTTTTCCTGAAGAAGAAAAAGGGGGAAATATTCGTTTTTCTTTTGCCGGAGAAGAAAGGTGAAAGAACTGCTGCATGCACGTGATGCTTAAAGGCTCACGATCCATGAATGGTTTTCTTTCTTCACGTACGGCCATCACTTCTTTACAAAGCTTGGCCAATATAATTGGGTTTGGTTTTGTTTTATTTTGATGGATTTGATGGGACATTGGAACCCATTGATGTGCAAAGATGACATGAAAGGGCTGTTTCCCCTTCGTGCGACCGTGCGTGCATGCCGTATTTTCTGCACGTATACATTGATTATGCATGTTTGCTTCGTTATACTTTATATATGTTGCTTCATAAAAATCAGAGTTTATGCGTTTGCTTAATATTTTCATTACCATTTAGCGGTCAAATATGATCAATTATTCTCTCTTTTTGGTTGCATATTTAACTGTTAAATAGTAAAAATATTAAGTAAATACATATAGCATAGTTTAACCAGTCCCCATAGTCATATTTTCAATAGAATTTACGGACCTAAATGAAGCACCTAAATTCCTTGTTTTCAGGACTGATTGGGCAAGGTGATCAATCGGTAAAATCACCCGTGTTTCCGTCACAACTAAAAATTTCTTATCATGTTAATGGCCTGTTAAATGTAAGGACACGTGCCGAAATATTAGATAAGGAGACATAAATGGGACATGCATTAATTTCTGAACAGCAGACCCGTAGCCGGCGAGGCATGTGATTCAACAGCTCAGGAGATCCTATAATTACTAATATTTTAAATCTAGGGAGTGAAAAAAGGAGTTTGTAGCATTAATTACTAATATTTTTAATATAAACTCTATTTTTATTGGTCCATAATCATTCCGACTCCCTAAATTAGAGTATGATCGCAACAGACTTTTCTTAGGAATCTCATAAAATAATTTTTTTTGTCTTTTTATTTTTGGGAATCTCCTAAAACTCAATATTTCATGATTAAATTAAATCCCAAAAACTTATATTTGGACCCTACATTTCATGATTAAATTCAATTAAACCTCAACTAAAATGCCTCAATTAATCATGTTGAACTTGTACTCATTCTTTCATTCGGTTGGAAATGGCCTTAGGATTCCATTACATATTGTCCTCATGCAATAAGTTTCCTTCATGGTAAGCAGAAAGCACTGCATACACAACTCACAATCGCGTTTGGATCACTTTCCCAACAGTTGATTAGGGAGAAGTTTGAGAAGCACCATTCCATTTTTGGTTCTACACATCACATGCACCCTAAAGCTAATCTAAACAAAAGGATAAAAAAAAGTACTAGAGATAAAAACTAAAAAATATATGATTCTCACAAACCAATTTCAAAATCATTGAATTCACAAACAATTGAAAGAGGCAACTCACCTAACATTCAAACGAGCTCTCCTAGCTTGGATAATTGAGGTGAAAAACAAGAGTTCAAAAGATATACACTCATCCTTGTGGTGCTCAGGCTTCCATCTCTAATAAATTATTTTATTTCTTATGTCAAGAAAAAAAAAACCCAAATTATTTACCCCAAAAATAAAGAACCAAGATTTATTTATATATTACATTTTACTATCTCTTAACTTTGGTTCATATAACAAACTCGTTCACCATTTTTAAAATTACAAGATCAACTTAGGTCATATAATTCAATGTTTGAGAAGAGAACCAAGCAACTTGGGATTCCATTCCATCCATGTTGGCCCTCATGCCATAACTTTTATTTTTTTATTATTTATTTTCCAGTAATCAACAAGCACCACATGATACCGTGGGCAACACACACGGAATCACTTTTCAGATTTTGCACGAGAATCTTCAATGGTTTTCCTAAATATATAAGGTTCTAACTAATTTTATAGAGAACTTGGAATGGTGCCTCTGACCCCAACAAGATACCTTTGTTATCACTAAAATTTGTATCTTATTCTAACCCAAGGAATCCAATATAAATGTGTATTAATTAATTAGAGTATTTGATATGTAACTACAATAAAATAAACATTACTTAGTTCATGTTTGGCTTAGAAAGAAAGAAAACTATGGATCACCAAGAATTTGTTTTCAATCAATGAGGTTGGGATTCAAATCCAAAGCTTTTTTTTTAACACTAAACGTCGAATAAAGAAGCATCGGAAGATCTAAAATATGTAGAAAACTAAATTTGAAATAAAAATTATATCAATGTTAGACATGCGTAAGGCCTAAAATATATGTCAACAACTAATATTTGAGGGCCTAAAATATATGTGAACAACCAATATTCCCCACCCCCGCCCCCCCAAAAAAAAATCATTAAAGAGGGCAAGTAAATTCACTTCTGTTACAGTCCTTTTTATTGATCATTTTTTGAGTTAATTACACAAACATCCTCTGAGGTTTATTCTGTTTTCACAAAATCCCTTCACATTTGATAAGTAACATTAACACCCCTTGAGGTTTTAAAATCGGTCATTAAAAAGACAAATTTACCCTTTTAATTAATTACTTAACAAAATAAAAACTATTGGAATCCAAACATCTAACCTATGTTTTTCCACCACTACATCAACATGCACTCGACCCACAAACCCATTCTCGTCACTTCTAGCAACCCCCTCCCGATCTTCTTCTTGGTTGAATAATCCCAAAAGCTTTGAACAAAAGAGATGGCGAGGTGGACGAGAAGATTTTCTGGAAAGTATGAAACTAAGATAGTAGAGCGAGAGAGATGGTGATATCAACAAGAAAATTTCAGAATGAAAGAGTTGGCGATGTCTTTAATGGCATTAAAAAGAACATGAACGGAGGAGGTAGCGGAGAACTGGTCGTGATATCCAGTTTCATGAAGAAAATCGGTCCTTTTTCGTCTTCTTCTAGTGTAATTAACCCATATATGTATGCTGACTTTAGTTCCAACCCCTGGTAATTTTAATGAAAGCCATGAGATGATGAGAGTGCTCGGATCTCCTGCACTAAAACCATTAATAGGTTAATAGTTGTAGCCCATATCATTCATTATTAATTCTCAACAAATAAACTCTCTGTGGCATCATAATAATTATTCCCAATTGAATTGATTTATGAAAGTTTTTTATTTTATTTTTCAAGTAGTTAATTATAGGGGTAAATACATCATTAAGGAGTGATGTGAAAACAGAATAAACTTTAGGGGGTGTTTGTATAATTAACCCCTCAATTTTCGTTTCTTGATTCATCACTTTGTATAATGTTGTATACGTTTCTTTTCTCTGCTTTTCTACTTTTCACAATTAATTCCATTATCTGCTTTGATAAATTCTGAGAGAGAAGCAATGAGAATAGGCTCAGTAATGCTCATGAGTTATGGCTAGCAAAGTGGATCTGACCATAAAATTTAGAGTTGTTAGCTAGTATATTAAATTCAGTATACATATTCATGGAATAATGATCCTTGTTCCTATATATGCATAAGGGAAATTTTATTAGAACTCACATAACCTATCTCCACATCCAACTTAGTATATTAAATTCAATTACATATTCATGGAATAATGATCATTGTTACTATATATGCATAAGGGAAATTTTATTAGAACCCACATAACCTATCTCTACATCCAACTTAAATTGTAAATGGAAATTGTCTTTTTTACCCTGTCACATAATTACCATCAAGTACAAAATGAAATTAACACTAAAAATTTATGAAACCCCACACCTATTAATCATACCCCTACCATACAAAATCACCATTTTTAGAAAACACTATCAATAGCGACAGTAAACTTAGACAAAAACACTGAAAAGGAGGAGAAGTTGAAGAGAGAGATGTTTGTGAATGTTGCAGAGAAATAGATGCATCATTTTTGGATCATGGCTATGTGGTCTCGAGGAGAAGCAATTTGATCGGGCCTCTTGAGCTTCGAATTGTGAAGAATGGGACTTTCAAGAAAATTTTGGAACATTTCATAAGAAATGGGTCTGCAATGAGTCAATTTAAGACCCCTAGTTGCACTAGCAACAAGGAGCTCTTGAGCATTCTCAGTTTTTGCACTGTTAAAAGGGTTTACAACACTGCTTATGCTAAATAGCACGTAATAGTATTTGGCAAAAATGCATGTGGCGAGTCAATCTCTCATGAATCAGTAAATGTACGTATAGAATTCAAAACCAACACTTCAGATCGATGTTCAATAAAGTTCAACAAACTCTCGATTGTCATACTTGTAATTTTAGGGTTCCTGTGGATGTGCTGTATCGATAGATATACCTTCAAGTGAAAATTGAACTGATCAGTTCTTCAAATTATTAACGTTCAATAAGCCAATAACATATATATCATTTTCTGATGTACCCAAATTCAAGCTAGTTAGCCATGAGCGATTTTCGTTTTTTCTTTTAGATCCAATTCAATTTGAGATTTTATTTTATAAATGGGTGCAAAGATAACTTTACATTTTGAATTGGGTTTGGGAGGGTAGTTTAGGTAATAAATTTGGGTTTTAAAGAGATGTTAATTCTTTAATTAAAAATAATATGGGTGTAGAAAATAAGTTGGGTGTAGAAAGAGGTTATATGAGTTCAAATAAACTTTTCCTATGCATAATTTAATTACGATACATATGTTCAGAGTTAGGCCAAATCGGATAAATGATCTATGTGATCATAAGGTATTCGGAAGATAGCTCATGTGCTAACAAAACTCGGATTTAAACCCATGTGGTGCACTCCGTTAGCAAATTTAGTCCAAAAGTGATTTTTCCGTTAACTGTCCGTTAATTCATGGGTAAAATTGTACTAAGTTGTAAATAACAAGATGCCTTTTGACTACACTAGATATGATTGCAGTGGTTTGAACTCTTTGATCATTAAACAGATCATGGAGATGGACCACATCAAGCTATCAGAGGAGGCACGGGCATATAAGAAGTGCCTTGAAGATATGAATGAAATGAGGTTTACCATTCATTCCACTTGTAAGTTAGACATGCTAAACGCTTTCCAGGTGACGACATTTTTGAATTTCAAGATAAGATATTTGTTTTTCTTTATCTGATCCTGGCTGTTTTATTTTTGCAATAGTAAATCAGCAAGTAAATTTGCATAATGATCTGAAGACTAAGTTTATTGAAGGGGCCAAAGAACAGAAAGAGCTCTACAACAAGGTGTTAGAGTTGAAAGGTTAGGAATTTGCTATTTTTGATTTGAAGAGGGCCAAAAGGGTATCAGACAGAAGGGCGTTTCTAACATTAATTTTTCTCTCTTGTAGGAAACATACGGGTCTTTTGCCGGTGCAGGCCTCTAAACAATGATGAAGTTGCAGCAGGAGCTTCAATGGCTATTGATTTTGAATCTGCTAAAGATGGTGAGCTCACTGTCAAATCAAATGGGGTCACCAGAAAGACCTTCAAGTTTGATGCTGTATTTGGTCCTCAAGCAGAACAAGGTATGCAGACAATGATAGATGAGCTTTTTGTTTGGACAGTATAAAGACGAGGAAGAAGAAGGTGCACACGTCAAAGTACAATTTCACCCATGTATTAACAGATAGTTAACGGAAAAATCACTTTTGTACTAAATTTGCTAACGGAGTACACCACAGGGGTTTAAATCCGAGTTTTTTTAGCACATGGGCTATCTTCCGAATACCTTATGGGTGTAGAGAATAAGTTAGGTGTAGAAAAAAGTTATATGGGTTCAAATAAAATTTTCCTATTCATAATTTAATTACGATACATATGTTCAGAGTTATGCCCTAAATTCTAATTTATGTAATAACTCAATATTAATTAATTAATTAATAAAAGAGTAATTTTTATTCATTTATAAGTTTAGTTTTATATTATAGAGATATTATACCACGAATGAGTCCATAAGACTTAAGATATGGAAGCAATCTTGAGGAGTTTGCTGGTGGCGTTTTCTCTTGATGTTTTGATTTCAAATTTCAATAATAAAAAATGCACAAATGAAGCTTACCCAAATGGTGATTGGTCCTCTCAACGAGGGTTTTGTGGTAAAGGTCGAGGACGCTGGCCATATACGCAACCTTATCGCCGGTGATCTTGTCATTGGCTTTGGGCTCCATCACGGCAAGGCACATGGTCTGCACGTTCAACCGAGCACTATCTATTTCTCCTGGTTGCCTTTGTGGTCAACGACAAATTTTTCGATGAGATCGCAGTCGGCGGTTCTGGATACGACCAGAGATAGAGGCTTCCCAACCACAACCAAATTTGTAATGTTGAAAGAGCAAACGATCGAGAGTTAGACAAGCTGCAACACAATGGAAGGGAGAGTTTGGAGAGAGAGTGGGTCCCGTGCACAGCACGTTAGTAACAGACAACTTGACATACATGGAGGCGAAGGTATGACAATGCAACGCATTTGTAAGTTGATGTATAGGCCATCTTCAATCGATGGCTGGCCAGATGACTTGTTTTAGCCTTCTGGCCCTCCAAGATCCTCCAAGATATTAATATTTTAACGAACAGTACAGGGCCATATTTGCCTCCGTCTCCAACCGAGGGGCAGAGGGCCAGAGGGCTCGTTTTAGCCCTGTCACAAAAAACCGTCTCCAACCGAGGGCCAGAGGGCCATAAGGCCAAACATAATTTATTATTTAAAAACTACAACTTAAAATAAAATGAAACAAATTTTGTGAAATAGAAGTTAGAGGAAAAAATGGAATTTAAAAAAAAATATATGAAACAAATTTTGTAAAATAAAAGTTATAGGAAAAAATAGAAGTTATATGAAAAATTTTGTAAATAAAAAATAATAATAAAACGTAAAAAAATCAAATCAAATCAAATCAAATGCAACGGCTAGTCAACTAGCCGTTGCATTTGAATTTTTTCTTAAGAAATCTTGTCAGTTATAACCGACAGCAATACATTTATATTATTTAGTATAAATGTATTACTGTCGGTTATAACCTACAGTAATACATTTATATTAAGTAATAGAATGTATTCCTGTCGGCTATAACCGACAGAAATAACAAAACATCAAAAAAAAAAAATGGCCAGCCCTCCGACCCTCTCCGATTCCGTGGGGCCCTCTCAGATTCCAGAGCCCTCTGGCCTAGTCCTCGGTTGGAAACGATTTTCCGGCTATTTTCGGCCCTCTGGACCCTTCGGTTGGAGATGACCTAACATTACAATGTTCAAAAGATGAGATGAGTTGTTATGTGACCTAAAATTGAGGTGGTAAAATATAATCTACCTGTTTATTTATTGTTGTTTGTGGGTGCGTGGAGGTTTTTGATTGGTTAGAGGCAATCCAATAAGAACAACCAAATGTCGTATTTACGCTTCGTTTAGAACTGCTTCTTTAAACACTTTTGTTTAGAAGCACTTTCAGTAAAAGCACTTCTATTAGAAGCAAATTTGTAAAAATTAAAGTGCTCTTGAAAAGCTTCTTAGAAGAAGCAAATAATTTGCTCCCGAAAGTTCATCTCTTTTTCTCCCAAACATGGTTAGTAGTGCTTGTGATGATCTAAGAGCGCTTAGTTTAATTTAAAAGAACAAAATTGTACTTGGGCTATAAGCATAAACAAAAACACAACTGAATTTGTGCTTTTCAGGACAATTTAGCTGTATGATTTGTGGCTGTTTTTTGGATGAGGAAGAAGAGTGTGGGAAATGCAAAGCAACAGTTGGCGAAACTGTTAATAGTCCCCGACGAGCAAGATGTCGTGCCAGTGATTGCTGCTTCAACTGGGAAGTTTGGCGATTATCAATGTTATAGGCAATCGTGAGTTGATAGCATTGAATAATGACCGGTGTTTCATTTTATAGGCAATCGTGAAAAATCTTCCTGGTAGGTTTAAAAGTAATATTCATGCTCTCTTTTTTAATCTTACACTCTTTATTTTTACAGTTTTTAAATTGAATAAATTAAATAAAAATAGAACGACACAAATACTAAGAGGAATGCAACAGAAACAATTGGAAGCGTGAAACATGCTGCTTAAGTTTAATTATGGGAGCCGCATGATTCCCCTGTTTGCCAAATCATAGCCTTCAATTTTTATCTACTTTTTGTCTATTTGTTGATACGAAATTACAAATTATGTCGTTTCACTGTAATTTTTTTGTGAGATGCAAAACGTGAGAAGAAAATTCAATTCAACACTTGGTCCTTTTTCTTTTCATATTTTTAACACACTGAAATTTGGAAGGATAGAAATGTAATTTAAAGAAAATAACAATAACACTTTTCACCAAAAATGTTATCAACTGAAGATCTGATTACAATTTTACAGCGCATACGGAAAACAAGCATTCAAATATCCCCGTCTACTAAGATGGCTACAACACTATTTTTGTCCATCATGATCCAACACGATTTCCCCCGTCTGTTTCAAATAAAAATAAAATTAGACCTCATCCACCAATTTCCAGTGGCGCATAGGAATAAATAAGCGCAGATAACAATGTGGAAAAATGCAGCTGAACTTACTTGTTTCAATTCTTCTATGTTTTTGCCAGATTTCCTTATTATGGAACAGAGCCGAGCATGAGCAATAGAGTAAGTAAACAGCAGCGTTTCCCTGCTCAGGTAGTTTCCGAACCGTAGGACAGAAAGCATTAGTAACATAGTTTAATACATATAGGACAAGTAATTAGAACAAGTCAGGAACAATCTTAATGCAAAGCCTTCGCCAAATACTAGTTGACGCACCTTATCACTTAGCATTTGATCAAAATCAAACGTGTAATTGGTTAATCTATTGTTCTTCAGATCAGCATACCTGTCCAAACATTAAGAATATAAAAGAATTATGTCCCATTCTAGGAACAATCTACAGGCTGGACTAAGTATGAAATTATTCATATACATTCTCTCTAACTGTTTTTGTAAATGGATACCATGGAGTTTTTAACCATTCCTAAGGTTCTTCAAGAAATACTACATTGATATATCCATTCACGTTCAGGATGCAGAAAATCTGGGGCAGTAGTCACAGTTTATACTTTATCGTAAAATTTACCTAGGCTATCCCACCCCAATCCACTATGAAGATGATAATTACAACATAACCAGGACAAACTTAAAAAAGTTTAGGGAGCTTACTTAAGGTACCGTTTGGTACGCAGACGGGACGGGACGGGACGGAACGAAATGGAGGTTCGTGTTATGTTTGGTATGCATAGGACGGAACGGTTCGGATTTCGTGTTAAATGACTAACTTAGCCTTGTTTGTACAATTTCTGCAGCGTCGTCGTTTTCCTTCATTTTCTCGGCAACCAATCAGACCCCCAAACAATTTCTTTCTCTTCAAATCAAACACAGAAAAATCCCAAAATTCATTTCAATCAATTTCTACAGCTTCGTCATCGTCCTCCCTGCAGCGTCGTCATCATCCTCCGTGCAGCATCCACCTTCTTCCCTCTGACCCACCAAACTGTTTCACTCTCTCTCTCCCCAACCTCCCTCTCCAAATCGGGCGACTCCGTCCTAATCCAATGGTTTGGCATCAACTCGCCCTCCCGACTCGACTGGCTCGGCATCTACTCGCCCCTTTCCTCCCACCACGACAACTTTATAGGATACAGTTCCTCTCCTCCGCCCCCACATGGAAATCTGGGTCGGGCTCCATTTCCCTCCCTCTGGTCAATCTTCGATTCAACTACTCCTTCCGGATTTTCCGCTGGAACGGGTCCGAGGTCAACCCCAACCTCCTCGACCAAGACCACAACCCCCTCCCCGGCACCGCCCACCTACTCGCCACCTCAGATGACGAGCTTAGCTTCGAATCGGGTCGTGTTCCGGATCAGATCCACCTCGCTTACATGGACGGAGATGACGAGATGCGGGTCATGTTCGTGACGCCAGACGACGCCGGAGAAGAAGAGGGTTTGCTATGGTGACGTTGTCGTCGTCGTCGTCGGATGGGTTTGCTGGGATTGGGTTAGCAGTTGGGTTGCTGGGTTTGTGGTGGAGGAAGAGGAGGGCTACGGGAGAGACATGGGTAGAAGAGAGGGAGGTTACGGGAGAGAAAGGGAGGTAGACAATGTAATTAATGAAAAATAAGAGGGGTATTGTTGTCCAAAAAAATATAATTTTGTGTCCCATGGGATGGAAAAACCCGTTCCAGGGGGCGGAGGGGGAACCAAAATCTAACCCATTTTCGTTCCGTGGGACGCGCGTTCCACATAATTTTAGCGCACCAAACGTGGGACGGAACGCATCCGTCCCACTCTGTTCCGTCCCATCCCACGTACCAAACACACCCTAACAGCACCGTAACCAACAGACTCAGCAATTTGATTAAGCTCCTGCTCAGTCCAGCCTGAATTTTAAAACATAATTACCCACTTCAGAAGATTTAGAGGTTAGGAGATACGGAATACTAATCTATGCTAAGATGATAAATACAATTCCCTTCAGGATATGTTCTACATCCCTTCAGAATATGTTCGAACATAGGTCATAGGATATCATACCACGTTCAACAAGAACCTTTTTGCTACGATCCTTGGCTTCATCAAGCAAATCAACCAATCGGACAACCTCACTAGAGCGAGTACGAAAGCGTTTTCCGTCTTCTCCAAGAACAAGACCAAAACCAACATAGGCAACCTTTGGTTTTAAGGCGCCATCAGTTGGGAGCCAACCTGCACATTTAGCTGCCTGAAACAAAACATCAAATTATGTCCAACCATATAATTGCATCGTATTATTACCGTAAGCCTTAGAAGTGAGAACATGAACTTGAAACCACATAAGAGGATTTATGCTACGCTATAAATAATTACAACAATAACATAGACCAGAAAATGGACGAAACACCACAAATCAGGGTATGCAGAGACAGGTCACAGTTTTAGCAACGTACCTCAAAAAACATATTAAAATGCTGCTGCTGGCCAACATCAGTAACATATATGATCCAATCCGCTTTCTCCTCATTAAGGCGATACCTATACAACACATTGCAGGTAGAAACGTCAGTAAGAAACTAAGAATGACAACTTATTCTCAAAGGGGCACAGTATGAAGATCAAGAAGAACTATAGTCAAGAAACACGGCTAAATGACTGGCCATAACATAATAGCTTTGACTCATAAAATCCATGAAAATTATCAAAAAAAAAAAAAAAAAAAACAAAACCATACCAAAGAGCTGCTAAATCAGTTGAAGCATAGTTGAAACCACCATCGCTCTTGACAACAATAAGAGGGATGTTAAACCCTTCCAGAAAGATTACACGAGCACCCTGGCTTTCCTCAATTAAGCCTTTATCACTCAATTCTTTTAAAACCTCAGGAATATATGGGTTATAAAAACTCTCTCCCTGTCAAAAACGAAAAGTAAAAACGAACATATATGACTTTACTGCTTACTCTCAGCAACTAAAGATGCAAAATTAAATCCAACAAATATTCTATACTATATACAGTTATTACAAACAAAAATAATCCATGTTGCATTTCAACCACATTTCAATATAAATGATTCCAATGTTTTAAATAATTCAGGGCACAAAAGTAAACATTAAGATCACAGGCCACAAAAGTAAAAACATTATATCACAAGTAGATTGTATACAATAGCAGAAGCAATGCACACTTTATAATCAACATTGCATCTGCAAATGCACAGCACAGGGCAAACTTTAAAATATTATTCTCATCACAGCTATTGGCCGATCAAAATATAAACGAAATTCATCTTTAGTGTCTTGCAATAATAATGTTTCAATATGGCATCATCTTGTTGTAACTTGAAATCACGTAGTACTACAAGTACCAACCAACTTGATGGACCAAACCAGGTTTTCCTGTAGTGCACAATCTAGGAGGAAAGCAATAGTACTTAATCTTCAAATGTCTCACTCATAAGAAAAGCTTACGTGCAAAAGATGAAGTGCTATTATAAAAGCTTCTGTATGAAAAGGACAGACATGGCCGTCTCATATTTTTTACTTTGCATCTAATTTCAGTAAACCTGTTGTTTCTTATTCAAAGGGATACAAGAATATCAATAGCCTGCCATAAGAATATCCAGCGAAGTTAGAACATACATTTTCCTCTAAATGAACTCCAAGGCGTTCATAGACCTTGTGAAATTCTTTACGGCCGATTTCGCAGATTTTCAGCCATGCATTTCTGTACTTGGGTTCTCCACCCTGCAAATTGAGTTGAATAACAACCAAGTTATGAAGAGAAACACAAAACACATTCTCCCATACTTTTGAATTTTTACTAACATCATGGATAGAGAGATCAACCTCGTGTTCTTTGTACATCTAAAAATGCATAACTCACCTGAAGGGAAACCACTGCCCGTTGTGCTCTCTCCTTAAAAGCAGGATCATCATCAAATCTCTGTTTTGATGCTTTATAGAATGCCTAACAAAACACCATTCATTTAAAGTCACTAACAATCATTTTCACTTTATTTTCTGATTCATCATGCCAAAGGAAGTTTACCCAACAAGAATGCACATGATAAAATTTACCTAGGCTATCCCACCCCATCTATTATGAAGATAATAATTACAACATAACCAAGAGAAACTTAAAAAAGTTTAGGCAGCTTACTTAACAGCACCATAACCAACAGCCTCAGCAATTTGATTAAGCTCCTGCTCAGTCCAGCCTGAATTTTAAAACATAATTACCCACTTCAGAAGATTTAGAGGTTAGGAGATACGGAATAATAATCTATGCTAAGATGATAAATACAATTCCCTTCAGGATATGTTCTACATCCCTTCAGAATATGTTTGAACATAGGTCATAGGATATCATACCACATTCAACAAGAACTTTTTGCTACGATCCTTGGCTTCATCAAGCAAATCAACCAATCGGACCACCTCACTAGAGCGAGTACGAAAGCGTTTTCCGTCTTCTCCAAGAACAAGACCAAAACCAACATGGGCAACCTTTGGTTTTAAGGCGCCATCAGTTGGGAGCCAACCTGCACGTTTAGCTGCCTGAAACAAAACATCAAATTATGTCCAACCATATAATTGCATCGTATTACTATTACCGTAAGCCTTCGAAGCGTGAACATGAACTTGAAACCACATAAGAGGATTTATGCTACGCGATAAATAATTACAACAATAACATAGACCAGAAAATGAACGAAACACCACAAATCAGGGTATGCAGAGACAGGTCACAGTTTTAGCAACGTACCTCAAAAAACATATTAAAATGCTGCTGCTGGCCAACATCAGTAACATATATGATCCAATCCGCTTTCTCCTCATTAAGGCGATACCTATACAACACATTGCAGGTAGAAACGTCAGTAAGAAACTAAGAATGACAACTTACTCTCAAAGGGCCACAGTATGAAGACCACGAAGAACTATAGCAAAGAAACAAGGCTAAATGACTGGCCATAACGTAATAGCTTTGACTCATAAAATCCATGAAAATTATCAAAAAAAAAAAAAAAAAAAAACAAAACCATACCAAAGAGCTGCTAAATCAGTTGAAGCATAGTTGAAACCACCATCGCTCTTGACAACAATAAGAGGGATGTTAAACCCTTCCAGAAAGATTACACGAGCACCCTTGGCTTTCCTCAATTAAGCCTTTATCACTCAATTCTTTTAAAACCCCAGGAATATATGGGTTATAAAAACTCTCTCCCTGTCAAAAACGAAAAGTAAAAACGAACATATATGACTTTACTGCATACTCTCAGCAACTAAAGATGCAAATTAAATCCAACAAATATTCTATACTATATACAGTTATTACAAACAAAAATAATCCATGTTGCATTTCAACCATATTTCAATATAAATGATTCCAATGTTTTCAATAATTCAGGGCACAAAAGTAAACATTATATCACAAGTAGATTGTATACAATAGCAGAAGCAATGCACACTTTATAATCAACGTTGCATCTGCAAATGCACAGCTAAGGGCAAACTTTAAAATATTATTAAATATTATTCTCATCACAGCTATTGGCCAATCAAAATATAAACGAAATTCATCTTTAGTGTCTTGCAATAATATGTTTCAATATGGCATCATCTTGTTGTAACTTGAAATCACGTAGTACTACAAGTACCAACCAACTTACTGGACCAAACCAGGTTTTCCTGTAGTGCACAATCTAGGAGGAAAGCAATAGTACTTAATCTTCAAATGTCTCACTCATTAGAAAAGCTTACGTGCAAAAGATGAAGTGCTATTATAAAAGCTTCTGTATGCAAATTACAGACATGGCCGTCTCATATTTTTTACTTTGCATCTAATTTCAGTAAACTTGTTGTTTCTTATTCAAAGGGATACAAGAATATCAATAGCCTGCCATAAGAATATCCTGCGAAGTTAGAACATACCTTTTCCTCTAAATGAACTCCAAGGCGTTCATAGACCTTGTGGAATTCTTTACGGCTGATTTCGCAGATTTTCAGCCATGCATTTCTGTACTTGGGTTCTCCACCCTGCAAATTGAGTTGAACCACAACCAAGTTATGAAGAGAAACACAAAACACATTCTCCCATACTTTTGAATTTTTACTAACATCATGGATAGAGAGATCAACCTCGTGTTCTTTGTACATCTAAAAATGCATAACTCACCTGAAGGGAAACCACTGCCCGTTGTGCTCTCTCCTTAAAAGCAGGATCATCATCAAATCTCTGTTTTGATGCTTTATAGAATGCCTAACAAAACACCATTCGTTTAAAGTCACTAACAATCATTTTCACTTTATTTTCTGATTCATCATGCCAAAGGAAGTTTACCAAACAAGAATGCACATGATAAAATAATACAACATAAGCATTTAAATGACTAAAATGTAAGGAGAAAACTTTCACTCACCTGTAGATCACCAATAGCCGATTCATTAACATCTTCTATGCTTGGGAACTTTTCAAAAAGGAACTCAATCAACATACCGAACTGCAATAGACACAGAACTTACTTGAGCCACATCTTAGTGATGGAAAAAACGAGTGCTTCTCTACCAAGCATATTGAACAATGAGCTAGAAAGACATAATAATATCTACCTAATGGCTGTATTCCCAGCTTCAGAAGGTTGTGATAGTTACACTAATGAAGGGTATAAAAACACCTAGATGCGTGTATGTGAACATAACATGTGTCTGTGAGCCTGGGTGTGTATATAGAAAAGGCAAGTGCCAAATGTTAGATGGTGGGGAAACTTGAAATGTCCAAGTTTAGCAATTTTTTTCTCTTGGAATCTGAATTAGTTACATATGCTATCAAACTGCATTACCTAAAATGAATACATCACCTGTGTCCCCCAGTCACCAACATGATTTCGTCGAAGAACTTCTACATTTGAAAACTCGAGAATACGGGATAGCGTATCCCCAATAATAGTTGACCTTAGGTGACCCACATGCATTTCTTTAGCTATATTAGGCGAGGAAAAGTCAACCACAGCCCTTTTGATCGGTAGCTGTGGCGCCCATTTCTCGATACCATCAATAAGCATCTTTTGTATTCTCTGCACCAACAATTATTCACAGTTAAGTCCAATAAAGTAAGAACTTTATATCCGCCCACACCAAAAATATTGAATAAATAAGTTATTTAGTATAATTTACAGTCACATAAAAGTTCAAACAATTTTTGGGAAGATCTTGGAGACTTGGTGCAAGGAATTGCTCAGACGGAGAAGTTATTTATAGGAGGAGATTTAAATGGACACGTGGGCAGGGAGACAGGCAACTATGGAGGTTTTCATGGTGGCCATGGTTTTGGGGAGAGAAACGAGGATGGGGAAGCTATCTTGGATTTTGCAATGGCATATGATCTCTTCTTAGCCAACACCTTCTTTAAGAAGAGAGAAGAACATGTGATCACCTACAAGAGTGGGTCGTCAAAAACACAAATAGATTTTCTTCTAATGAGGAAAGGGGATCGTATAACTTGTAAGGATTGCAAAGTTATACCAGGAGAGAGCGTGGCTAATCAACATTGCTTGTTGGTGATGGATGTACATATCAAAAGAGTAAGACAAAAAGAACAAGACTTGGAAGTGCCCAAGGACTAGATGGTGGAATCTAAAAGAAGAAAAACAAGTCATTTTCAAAGAGAAGGTAATCACCCAATGTGTGTGGGATAGAGAGGGGGAAGCTAGCCAAATGTGGGATTCCATGGCTAGTTGTATCCAAAAAGTAGCAAAAGAGGTATTAGGAGAGTCCAAGGGCTTTGCCCCACACCAAAAGGAATCTTGGTGGGTGGAATGAGGAGGTACAAACAAAGGTGAAGGCTAAGAAGGAATGTTGTAAAGCCTTATACAAGGAGAGGACCGATGAAAATGGTGAAAGGTATAGAAAAGCGAAGCAAGAGGCGAAGAAAGCTGTCAGAGAAGCTAAGTTAGCGGCTTATGACGATATGTATAAACGACTAGATACCAAAGAAGGAGAGTTGGATATCTATAAACTAGCTAGAGCAAGGGAAAAGAAGACAAGGGACCTAAACCAAGTGAGGTGCATCAAGGATGAGGATGGAAAGGTTCTTGCTACAGAGAACGCGGTTAAAGACAGATGGAGAGGTTATTTTCATAATCTTTTTCAATGAAGGACATGAAATGAGTGCTTCTTTAGGGGAGTTGAGTAACTCAGAAGAGTGTAGAAACTACTTTTTTTTTATCGTCGAATCCGGAAGGAAGAAGTGGTTGTAGCTTTGAAGAAGATGAAGCATAGAAAAAGCAGTAGGCCCAGACGATATATACCAATCGAAGTGTGGAAAGTTTTGGGAGAGACAGGTATAACATGGCTCACTGACCTTTTCAATAGGATTTTGAAAACGAAGAAGATGCCAAATGAGTGGCGAACGAGCACTTTGGTGCCTATCTACAAGAATAAGGGCGACGTACAAAATTGCATGAACTATAGGGGTATTAAGCTAATGAGTCATACAATGAAGCTCTGGGAGAGAGTCATTGAGCATAGATTGAGGCAAGAGACACGGGTTTCGGACAACCAATTCGGGTTCATGCCAGGGCGCTCAACCATGGAGGCAATCTATCTCTTACGAAGATTGATGGAAAGATATAGAGATGGGAAAAAGGATTTACACATGGTCTTTATAGATTTGGAAAAAAAGCGTATGATAGGGTCCCAAGAGACATTCTTTGGAGGATTTTAGAGAAGAAAGGAGTACGAGTAGCATATATCCAAGCTATAAAGGATATGTATGAAGGAGCAAAGACTGCCGTAAGAACTCATGAAGGACAAACCGAAAGCTTTCCCATAACTGTAGGATTACATCAAGGCTCATCCTTAAGTCCTTACCTTTTTGCGTTGGTAATGGATGAGTTAACAGGACATATTCAAGATGATATTCCTTGGTGTATGCTTTTCGCAGACGATATAGTGTTGATAGATGAAACTCAGGAAGGGGTAAATGCAAAGCTTAACCTTTGGAGAGAAGTGTTGGAATCTAAAGGTCTTCGCCTAAGCCGATCAAAGACAGAATATATGGAGTGAGTGCAAGTTCAGTGCAAATGGAGGCCAAAACGAGTTAGGGGTGAGGATCGGAGATCAAGAAATACCAAAGAGCGACCGTTTTCGTTACCTAGGATCTATCTTGCAAAAGAACGGAGAATTAGATGGAGATCTCAACCATAGAATACAAGCTGGATGGATGAAGTGGAAGAGTGCATCCGGCGTGTTGTGTGACCGCCGTATGCCACTGAAGCTCAAGGGAAAATTTTATTTATAGGACGGCAATAAGGCCGGCGATGCTGTATGGCACAGAATGTTGGGCGGTGAAGCATCAACACGTACACAAAATGGGTGTAGCGGAGATGAGGATGCTTCGTTGGATGTGTGGGCACACGAGAAAGGATAAGATTAGGAATGAGGATATCCGGGGTAAAGTAGGAGTAGCCGAAATTGAAGGAAAGATGAGAGAAAATCGGTTACGGTGGTTTGGACATGTGCAAAGAAGGCCTACTGACGCTCCGATTAGAAGATGCGACTATGGACAGAGGTTCAGGGCCGAAGGGGTAGAGGAAGACCTAGGAAAACTTTGGAAAGAGACTCCTAAGAAAAGACTTAGAGTACTTGGATCTAACGGATCTAACGGACATGACACAGGACAGAGCACAATGGCGTTCTAAGATTCATATAGCCGATCCCACTCAGTGACTTGGATTTTCCAAGTCTCCAACCGAGAAGTTTTCCTCACTCGGGAAATTAAGGGAACACTACCTCAACCTACATGCTCCACTCACAAAGCTTCAACATACAAGCTTCAACAAAAAAAAATTCAAAGAACTTAGCGAAGAAGGCTTTGGTGTATTTAACACAATACGTTGAAATGAAGGAAAGCTTATTTATTGATATCCCCGATAAGCTTACAAATATGTACATATACATTGAGTCAAAATAAACAAACAAGAGGGAGCCTTCACAAAGGTTGCTTAGGAGAAGTCTCAGCAGTCGGTAGAGCCCCAGAAAGAGAAGGCACCGGAGGGGGATCATTCGGAGCCTCAGTACTGGACAGAACCCTAGAAGGAGGAGGCATCAGAGGTTGATCATTTGGAGCTTCATTACGCGGTACAGCCCCAGAAAGACGAAAGGCAATAAATGCCTTTGGAACAAACCCACAAATCTCTGATGATCAAGTAAAACCTGACCATCAGATTCCTTCATCTGGTCAAGCTTCCTCTTCATGTTTGTAGCATAGTCATGTGCGAGCCGGTGCAACTGTTTATTCTCATGCTTGAGCCCTCTAATCTCCTGTTTGAGACTCATCACTTCAGCCGCCAATGATTCAACTTGGCGGGTTCGAGCAAATAGGCGTTGGGCCATATTAGACACAGAACCTGCACACTGAACACTGAGAGCCAGAGAATCCTTAACAGCCAACTCATCAGACCGTTTGGAAAGTAGTCTGTTATCTTTGGGAGTGAGAAGGTTCCTGGCCACTACCGCAGCGGTCATATCATTCTTCATCACGGAATCCCCAACGGTAAGAGGACCAGTAGGGGAGACGAAGGATGGGCGCCATATGTTGTCTGGAGAAGGCGGGGGCTGCCTCTTCAACAAGGTTCAAGTCAAAACGACGGTCGGAGGGCCAGACATTTTCAAAGACATTTTCAAGAGGTGTGAAGAGAGAAGAGGTCGGATCAATCAAGATCTTAGAAGTGCAAGAATGGAGCTTCTACTGGTGGATATTCAAGTGTGCTTTGGAACTTAATGTCAGCCCCTATAAAAATCTGCACTCGACGGAAGCTTCAGAAATCGAAGAGGCGCCTGCTCAGAAATCGAAGAGGCGTTTGCTTTCTCAAAAGCTGGGCTGCTCAGAGACCACGAGGGTCGATCTCAGAAATCGAAGGCGTGTGGCGTTTGCTTTCTCAAAAGCTGGGCTGCTCAAAGACCACGAAGGCCGATCTCAGAAATCGAAGAGGCGCTTGCTTTCTCAAAAGCTGGGCTGCTCAGAGACCACGAGGGCCGATCTCAGAAATCGAAGAGGCACCTACTTTTCCAGCCTTGTCAGCACCTGTCACACGCACACTCAGCTTTGCGGAAATTATGGGCATTCTGTCGAAGATTTCTGGCGAAGTAGAAAGCACATGAATCGTACTGTTCAATCACCCACTTCCCACACGCAACAGTAGCTCATGGGTACCACAGATAACTTTGCCAAAGTTCTCTGACAAAGTTGAGACACGTGAAGCTTGCAGCTCCCACTACATCGCTCTGACCAAGAAGGGTAAAAGAATAGCAAAGAAACAACACTAACAAAGTTTAGACACATAAATTTTGAAGGTCTAGCTACCATATTATTACCCACAAGGGTAAAGGAACAGTACCACTGCTGGATAATTGGAAAGTCCCTGTGTGTCAACCTCTGTGCTTCGTGGCAAGGTAGACTAGCAAACATGCCCAACCTTTACTCACATTCGAGAAAACACTCCCAACAAGATTGCTTGCTCCAAAATCGAAGAGGCACCGCCCTCCGAATCTCGAGAGCCAGACTCCCAACATGACTTACTTTCTCAAAAATCGAAGAGAGGGTAAAGGAACAGTACCACTGCTGGATAATTGGAAAGTCCCTGTGTGTCAACCTCTGTGCTTCGTGGCAAGGTAGACTAGCAAACATGCCCAACCTTTACTCACATTCGAGACAACACTCCCAACAAGATTGCTTGCTCCAAAATCGAAGAGGCACCGCCCTCCGAATCTCGAGAGCCAGACTCCCAACATGATTACTTTCTCAAAAATCGAAGAGACACCGCTCTCCGAATCTCGAGAGCCAGACCCCCAACATGATTGCTTTCTCAAAAATCGAAGAGGCATCGTTTTCCGAATCTCGAGAGCCAGATACCACAGACCACTTTTTCAAAGTGCTCTGACAGAGTTAAAACATGTGAAGCTGGCAGCTCCCACTACCGTGCTATGACCAAGCAGGGTAAAGGAATAGCATTACTTACTTGTTGTTAGGGAGACTCCTATATATGTCGACCTCCATCCCCAACGGACAGGCAGACCTGCAAAAATGCTCAACCCTTCCTCATTATCTGAGAGGGCACTCCCAACGAAGCCTTTCGAAATATTCAGCTTTCTTTCCCCCCGATAATACCTCTGTAAACAAGCTATACTAGAGCAAGAATATCTCATATCATCAGGGTTAAAAGCAAGAGTATCCCATATCATGCTTTTTCCCTGTCTTTTCCTTTGGCCTTGTTCTTACCTGCAAGACAAGGAGAAAGAGAGCAATCAGTCAGCACTTGGAATCAAGCTTCCAGCCAGGAACTGACTGCCTGGAACCCCTTACCTGATTACTTACCTGGCATTGCTCTCGAGTACTCATCTTCAACATCTTATGCTTCCAGGGAAGATACCGCATCTGCCTGAGGAACAGATAGGGCAAGTGAGAAGGATACAAGGAAGCATGTGGAGACAAGCGTAACAGCACACGTGCCGATACATCCACTACTCTGTCAAAAGCAAAAGTATCCCATATCAGCAGGGTCGAACGTACTCTAGATTTGATGGACTTGTTTTGACCCTCAAATTCTTCAGTCGGCCTTATACTCTGGAGGAAACCAGAAAACCCTCCAGCCCAGTTCAAGAATAAGCCTGTGGAAAGTTACTTCTTCAAAAGCAAAAGTATCCCATATCATCTCTTCTCATTTTTCTTCTCTTTATCCTTCATGCTGCCTGCAAGATAGGGAGAATGTGAACAATCAGCCGGAGCTCTGATTGCTTACCTTGTCTGTCACCTCTTTCAGCAGATCCCCCTAGCTCGGCGACTTGGGGGACTCCTACTACATGGTTTGTATCGCGCTTGACCAAGCCTGAAACTACAAGTAAGCTTCAAGTGAAATTGATACATTACCTTGTGCATCTCCACCAGTTAAAGATACCACCCCTGGATGGAGGAAGAGTACTTCCAGAGAAGATGCCACATCTACCTATGAGACAGATAAGGCAAGTCAAGACGATACCACACTCCGGTACTTAGAAGTTTCGTGATTACGAGATCATTCTCCCACAATATTTCCTAATGTCATTTGTACTAAATCATTCACTTGTACTCACTAAAGGAGAGCTTGAACCTATGTACTTGTGTAAACCCTTCACAATTAATGAGAACTCCTCTATTCCGTGGACGTAGCCAATCTGGGTGAACCACGTACATCTTGTGTTTGCTTTCCTATCTCTATCCATTTATATACTTATCCACACTAATGACCGGAGCAATCTAGCGAAGATCACAAAAAGCGACCGTTTTCGCTACCTAGGATCTATCTTGCAAGAGAACGGAGAATTAGATGGAGATCTCAACCATAGAATACAAGCTGGATGGATGAAGTGTAAGAGTGCATCCGCATCCGGCGTGTTGTGTGACCGTCGTAGGCCACTGAAGCTCAAGGGAAAATTTTATAGGACGGCAATAAGGCCAGCGATGTTGTATGGCACAGAATGTTGGGCGGTGAAGCATCAACACGTACACAAAATGGGTGTAGCGGAGATGAGGATGCTTCGTGGGATGTGTGGGCACACGAGAAAGGATAAGATTGGGAATGAGGATATCCGAGGTAAAGTAGGAGTAGCCGAAAATTGTGAAGGAAAGATGAGAGAAAATCGGTTCCGGTGGTTTGGACATGTGCAAAGAAGGCCTACTGACGCTCCGGTTCGAAGAATGTGACTACGGGACAGAGGTTCAGGGCCGAAGGGGTAGAGGAAGACCTAGGAAAACTTTGGAAGAGACTCTAAGAAAAGACTTAGAGTACTTGGATCTAACGGAGGACATGACACAAAACCGAGCGCAATGGCGTTCTAGAATTCATATAGCCGACCCCACTTAGTGGGAAAAGGCTTTGTTGTTGTTGTTGTTGTTGTATAAAAGTTCAAACAATACCTTAGCCAACCATTTCTTTGACAAGACAACATTCACAAATCCAGGTCCTGCTACAGAACAAGATTCTATGACCTCCGAATCAGGAAGATTTTTCATGATTGCCTATAAAATGAAACCCCAGCCATTATTCAATGCTATCAACTCAAAGCCTAAATAGAAACCCTAACTATCTAAGTTCAATGTAGAGAAGTAAAGGAAAGGTGAACAGGTGAACGTTAGTACCTGCCCAACAGATGGAGGACCCCTGAACTCACTCCCCTTTCCTTTTATTTTAGACCATAGACCCATGGCATTGTTACTGCACCAAAGAAGGACTTACCCATCAAATAGAAGTAGGTAAAGCATGACTTACAAATTGAAATATCTTTCAAGTGACAGAAACAAATAATATAGATTATTTACAGTTGAAAAATAAATCTAATGTTTACAATTTAGAATTAAAGACTATAATGTACCATTGATAATCGCCAAACTTCCCAGTTGAAGCAGCAATCACTGGCGCGACATCTTGCTCGTCAGGGACTATTCTCCTGAGCGACACTTCAAACAGTTTTGCCAACTGTTGCTTTGCATTTCCCACATTCTCTTCTTCCTGAGCCAAAAAACAGCCACAGATCAGATACAAGTATACAGCTAAATTGTCCCGAAAATTCGATTACTGCTCAAAACATAATAGCGGCACCACAAGCTACACATTGCAAGAATATTCTCACAGACAAACACACACACAAAAATGCTAAAGCAAAATTGGTAAAAAGTAAATGTTATGAGTAAAAAGAATAACTTACAGTTGCCATTGTCGATACTGAGTGGGACTTTGCTGCAAAAATAAGCTCTCTAGATGCTACCTTCAATAAGTCTGTCTAGTTTCACAATGACCACATCAAATTACAACAAAAGCTATGAATTTCGAACTTCTCATATCAAATTAATGAAAACCCAAAAAACACCAAAGAAAAATTGGGTTAATTAAAAACATTAAAAGCATAAATCTTGTGATAAGCACAAAACTGGGTTCAGCATTCATGAACTTATGAAGAGTAGAATAAACAAAAAGCATCCATCTTTTTATATATATATATTATATATATATATATATATATATATATATATATATATATATATATATATATTTATATACGCACAGACATATATTGTCAGTGCCCGCATACGTAGAAACAAGAGAGAGAGAGAGAGAGAGAAGAGGTCTCACCGGTGGCGGGGAGGGAAGGAGAGGGGTGGTGACAAGAGAGTCGACAGAAGGAAGGAGAAATCGGCGCAATCAGGTTTAAGTGGGTACCAAACATATTACTCCTTTTTCTTCTTTTTCTTTTTGTTTTCCCTCGAATATTTTCTGTGTTACTGTTTATATATTCGTCTTTTTTGTTGCCTAATTTTTACAAGTTGGGAGAAAATGTCCCTTTGCTTGGCCAATGGGACGCTGCCAAGTCAGTAAACAGTAGATTATGGTCCCACACGTTGAATGGGCTTTGGCAAGTAAAGCTGCTTGGTCTGAAATTTAGAGTGTGGACTTTGAAATTGGACTTGGAGTACACTGCAATCCTAGAAAAGCCCAAGTTCAGATGTATTTTTGTTTATGCTTGTAGCCCAAGTACAATTTCTGGTTTTTTTTAATAAACTTAAGCACTTTTAGATCATCACAAGCATTTCCACCCATGTTTGGGAGAACAAGTTAGATGTACTTTTGGGGGTAAACTTATTATTGCTTCTTCTAATAAGCATTTCAAGAGCACTTTAATTTTTACGAATTTACGTCTAATAGAAGCGCTTTTACTGAAAGTGCTTACAAACAATTTTTTTTTTTTTAAAGAAGCAGTTTCAAATGAAGCGTAAATACAACATTTAGTTGTCCTTATCTGATTGTCTCTAACCAATAAAAAACCTCCACGCACCTCAATTTTGGGTCACATAACAAACTCATATATCGTCTTTTGAACATTGTAATGTCATACATCAACTTTTGAATTCGTTGCATTGTCATACCTCCTCCTCCTTATATGTCAATTTATCTATTAACTGCTAACGTGATAGGTGCATGACCCACTCTCTCTCCAAACTCTTCCCTTCTCCTGTGTTGCAGCTCGTCTAACTCTTGATCGTTTGCTTTTTCAACATTACAAATTTGATTGTGGTTAGAGAGCCTCCGCCTCCAGTTATAACCAGCACCGCCGACTGCGATCTAACTCTTTCTCCAAACTCTCCCCTCCTCATCTGTATTGCAACTCGTCTAACTCTTGATCATTTGCTCTTTCAACATTACAAATTTGGTTGTGGTTGGGGAGCCTCTGCTTCCGGTTGTAATCAGCACCGTTGATTAGGATCTGATCGAAAAATTTGTCGAATACCACAAAGGCAGCCAAGAGAAACAGATGGTGCACTCATACACGTATATGGTGGGCTAGCCCCACTAACTTCGTATATGTATGAGTGCAGGCATGCATGAATGAGCTTAATTAATGATTACGTAGTGCATAGTAGAATTATCGAAGTTTGATAATGGCTTCAGTTTTCTGGTCAACGGTTGAAATGATCTTGCTCAGTTTCTTTGGAAATTTGGTTTGTCTCTAGATTGGAGGTAGAGTGCATGGGACATGCAGGGCTTTTGTGCAACCAAAAATGGAATGCTTCCTTCCTCCTCGAACAACTCCCTAATATATATATCTAAACTCTCATTCAAACTTTTATATGGTAATTAATCCAAATTTTTCTTCTTCTCTTCCTAACACATGATATTCATATTGTTGGGTTTTGGTTTCAATATTTGTTGTATATTTCATTATGAAGATTACAAGAGAATGAATGCAACTCTTATAGAGAGCCAAAAGAAAGCTACAATAGATTGTAGGATAACTACACAAACACAATCCCTAAAATCTGCCCTAACAAGTGGAAAAGCAAAAACCAAATTACAAGTAAAGAAGCTTTTACAAGCAACTAAGAAAGGTTGATGTAAGGTGAATGACAAGCTATGGAAAGTGATTAGTGAATGACAAGCTATGGAGAAACGGTTGATGTAAGGTGAATGACAAGCTATGGAAAGTGACTGGTGAATGACAAGTTATAGTGAGGATGACAACTCATACATACAACCCATCCATACAAACCGGTTTCAATACACCCCCTCAAGCTGGATCAAGGGGATTGATTGATCCAAGCTTGTACAACAAACGCTGAAACTGAGTAGAGTCTAGTGCTTTTGTGAATAAATCAACAAGTTGATCGTGGCTGGGTGTGAACACGGTGTCTATCACATTGGATTGAACTTGAGCACAATTATAATGGCAGTCAACTTCAATATGTTTGGTCCTTTCATGGAATACTGGATTGGAGACAATGTGCATGGCAGCTTGGTTATCACAATACAAGGACATATGTGCTATGCTTGTGAATTCGAGCTCGGAAAGAAGACCTTTCAACCATATGAGTTCACATGTTGTTGCTGCCATAACCCTATAATCAGCTTCGGCACTAGATCGATCAATAACAGTTTGTTTCTTGCTCTTCCAAGTGACAAGGTTCCCTCCAACAAATGTGCAAAAACCTATTGTGGATTTTCGATCAAGGGCATTTCTAGCCCAGTCAGCATCTGTGTAGGCCAAGATGTGATTTGACCCATTGTTCTTCATAATTATCCCCCTTCCTACTGAGCCCTTGAGATATCGAAGTATTCTCTTGACTATTTCTCAATGAACTAGAGTATGAGAGTGCATGAACTGATTGGCTAGGCTAACTGAATATGAGATATCAGGCCTAGTAATGGTGAGATAAATAGGTTTCACAACCATTCGCTGATAAACACTAGGGTCCGAGAGAAGTTCACCTTTTTCATGCCACTGAAGTTTGCTAGCTAGGGGTGTCCGAGCTGGTTTACATTCCATCATGTTAGCTTCATCTAGAAGATCAAGAACATACTTTCTTTGATTTAAGAACAATCCATTTGAAGAGGTAGCCACCTCAATTCCAAGAAAGTATTTCAAGAGCCCCAAGTCTTTAATGGCAAATTTTTTGGTGAAGTGACTGCTTAAGCGTCTTGATTTCACTTATATTGTCACCTGTAATAATTAGGTCGTCAACATATATAAGCACAACCAATTTGCTAGCAATACTACTTCGAACAAACAAAGAAGAGTCAGCATGACTCATTTTGAACCCTGCAGTTTCAAAGACTGAACTAAGCTTCGAATACCAAGCTTGAGCAGACTGTTTGAGACCATATATGGCTTTGTGAAGTCTGCAGACCTTGTTGGGTTCATTTTCTTTTGGATGACCAGGAGGCAACTTCATGTACACTTCTTCTTCAAGATCCCCATGAAGAAATGCATTCTTCACATCCATTTGGAATAAGGGCCATACATTATTGACTGCCACATACAACAATACCCTCACTGTGTTCATTTTGGCAACATGAGCAAAGGTCTCCTTATAGTCAATGCCATAGGTTTGAGTAAAGCCTTGAGCTACTAACCGTGCTTTGTGTCTTTCAATGCTTCCATTGGAGTTGAATTTGGTCTTATATATCCACCTACTTCCCACGACCTTCTTGCCATTTGGAAGATTCACCACACTCCATGTCTAGTTGTCATTCAGAGCTTGAAGCTCTTTAGTCATAGCATTTTTCCACTCAAGCATGCATGTGGCTTCATGAAAATTCCTTGGTTCGAAAGTGTGGGACAATTTGTTAAGGAAAGAAGTATGAGAAGATGAGAATCTGTGATAAGAAATGGCTGCAGAGATAGGATGCCTTGCAGTGTAAGTAACATACTTTTGTAACCTCACTGGTGGATGTCTATCTCGTGTAGGATTTCTTCTTGGTGCACTTATAACTTGCTGATTTGGTTGAGCTTCTGATGGTCCAGAGGAGCTTGGCACTGCATCAATTACACTTTCAGTGAGTTGAGAATTATCAGTACTGATATGAGCAGAAGTGACTTCATGAATTTTTGCTAGAATAGGTAGTGGAAGTAGGTCCATAAGATCTTCCATATTAGCATTAGTCTCCAACCCTTTGTGGAAATAAGGTGAATATTCATCAAATCGCACATCTCTAGAGACTGCCAGCTTCCCTGTGTTAGGGTTGTACACTTTGTAACCCTTTTGAGAACTGGCGTATCCCATAAACACACATTTGGCAGCTCGAGGATTGAGTTTGTCCCGATGGAAAGCTTAAATGTGCACATAACAAGTACAACCAAAGGTCATGAGGTGAGACAAGTTTATAGGCCTGCCCTTCATGACTTCAAAAGAAGATTTAGTATTCAACACCCAAGTTGGCAGTCTATTAATGATGTACGTGGCAGTGAGTAGAGCTTGAGACCAAAATTTCTAGGAACATTCATTTGGATCATAAGTGATCGAGTCTTCTCCAATAAGTCTCGATTCTTTCTCTTTGCCACACCATTTTGTTGTGGTGTACCAACACAGCTATTTTGATGCAAAATGCCATGATTGCTCAAGTAATTACTCATGTTATTGGAAGTGTACTCGGTACCATTATCTGATCTTAACATATATAACTTAGATGAAAATTGATTGGTGATTAGGTTGTGAAAGTAGCATCAAACAAATCACTTTTAAGTTTTAAAAGATACAACCAGGTTACTCTAGAATAGTCATAAAAAATGTAACATAATATCTATACCCATCAAAGGATTCTACACGAGAAGGACCCCAAATATCAGAGTAAACAAGCTCAAAAAGTTTACTAGTTCTAGAATTAGAGGAAACAAAATGAAGTCTAGTGGCTTTTGACATTTGACAAGTTTCACACTCCAGTGTGTTTTTACAAAAAAAGGGAAACAACTTGGTCATCACATGTTCTGAGGGATGGGCAAGGCGTTGATGCCAGAGTTGGTGTTCCTGAACTTGACTTAAGTTGACATTGAGCTTTTTGACAAAATTGGACTCATTTGAGAGATAGTAGAGTCCATTCAAGAAGAACCCTTCACCAATCTTCTTCTGAGTAACTCGGTCCTGAAAAATAACATTGTGAGGGGAAAATATGGCAAGACAGTCTAAGGTTTTTGTGATTTTTCCTATTGACAAGAGTTGAAAAGGAAAAGAAGGTACATAGAGAGCAGTGGAATCAGTATGCTCACTTAGCAATCTAATATTTCCTTTCCCTAGAATAGGTTCCCCTTTCCCATTTGCAATAGATACATGAATTGGATCAATAGTTCTTTGAAAATCGTGGAGACTAAAGGGTTTATTAGTTATATGATCAGTGGCACCAGAGTTAATAATCCAAAAATCATGTGTAACATTTGCATTAAGAGCAGTGGAAATGGCACTGATAATACCTGGAATATTACCTTTCGATGTGTTCTCTGAGT